GCCCCGCCCCCGCCGGCCCTGCCCCGCTCGGCCCGGTCGGCGCCGCCCCCGCCTTACCAGGGTTTTGGCTACGTTCCCCCTCTGGGTGATGTTTTTGCTGTGCTTCTCGTTGGCCATCCGGATCCGCTGTTTGGCCACCATGGCTTGGGCGCTAGGAAATGCCCTCGATTCCCACCTGCAAGAATCCCCCCGCGTTAGCCCCCCGACAGGGCCGCGCGCGTCCCGCCCGCTGCGGGCGCTGCAGGTGGCAAGGCGCAGCCCCTGAGCCCCGCGCACCCCGCTCCCCTGCCCCCAACGAGCCGGCTCCAGAGAGAGGCCAGAGCCCGGACGGAAGTAATCTTTCATCTCAGGAAACCCTCTCCTACTTCCTCGCCATCCTTCCGGTCCCCCCTGCTACCTAACCAGCGCGGCCCGGAGGCTGGCGCTGCCGCGCGTCCTCCTCGCACCCGGTGGCCGCGCTGTGCGCACTGGGCGGTCGGGATCTAGCGGCCGATCGCAGCGGGGCCCAGGGTTCCGGCGGCCCCCGGCTTTGTGCGCTCATAGGGGCGGGGGCGCCACTGCTCCGGGCCTCCAGGGCCGGGGACCCACCGGGGCCCGGATTGGGGCGGCCGCGCTTTAAGCCAGGGCGGGCGGTCTCCCCTGCACCAATGACCCCTGGCCGAGAGCTGCACTGGAGGCGGCGGCCGGCGGACGTGGGGGGTCCTCAGAAGACACGCAGAACCAGGGCAAGGCTGGGCCCAAGCTGTTGGGGGACAGTCCAAAGAACCTCCCCTTCAGGTGTCTGGGGAAGGGCCCTGCGCGAGGGAAGCCCATTGCAGGACCTTTCTCAAGTACTGCGGAAAGGGCTGGAACTTCCCGAGGATGGGGATAAGTGGGTGTGAGGATGGAGCTGGGGTAGGTCATCTTGCCTTGGTAGCTGAGGGGGTTTGCTGGAGGACTGCCAGCCACGCATCTGAGTGAAAGGTGGAGAAAGGTCGCAGTCTGCAGCCCAGCCAGATTTGGCAGTCACTACCCTAACTTGGGCGGCTTTGTCTGGCTTTGGCTCCCCACCTGCCTGGGGCAGTTTGAACCTCCTCCAGCCACCCTTGTCCAGAGGGATGTGAACTGGGCGTTTCCTTGCACTAGGGGGTAAAAACTGGAGGGTCTGTGCCTCACAGACCCTGCTGTTAGGGCCCTACAGATTGCTTCTTCAGGGCAGGGGGGAAAGGGGTCCAGTCCCTCACTTTTCCTTTGTGCTGCATGACTTGAAGTGAACTCTTAGAAGCTCAGAAGAGTTGAGAAAAAAAAGGGGAAACATCAGCCTGGAAGATCTGGGGCAGTGGGAAGTGGTGGGGAAGAACTGGGGTATTAGATTTGTTCTGGCTCCTGCACCCCAGTCCTTCCCTTGCAGGCATCTGTAGGGTTGTGTGCGGACAGAATTTCCCAATGTCAGTAGGAACTGAGAGAGCGCTCCTTCTTTCTTTTAAGGGCTCTTTATTAAGCTCATCGTCACCCTCCTCCCAGTATGCTGTCATTCAAGCTCTAATATAGACGGTTTGGGGGTTGCTTTTGGTAACCCAGAAGAAGACAGAATCTACCCAGCATCATTTAGTAAAGTCTGGTTGTTCTGCTCTAAAGGTCACTTAGTTTCCAAACTAGTTTCCACCAACATCACCACGATTATTACAGGACAACAAACCAAGCAGGCCCATTATTATTATTATTTTTTAAGATTTTATTTATTTATTTGACAGAGAGAGCGAGCACAAGCAGGGCGAGCAGTATCAGAGGGAGAGGGAGAAGCAGGCTCCCCGAGGAGCAGGGAGCCCGATGCAGGGCTCATCCCAGGACCCTGGGATCATGACCTGAGCCGAAGGCAGTTGCTCAACCAACTGAGCCACTCAGGTGCCCCCCCCAAGCAGGCCCATTATTAAAAAGACTTGTGTTTTTAGTAATGATGGACTCTTCCGGTGGGGAGAAGAGAGAGGGCCACCCCTGCCTTGGGGACACGTGCTGAGCCTTGCAGAGGTGTGAGGCCCAGAGAGTGCTTCTCCCTGAGTCACCTTTCTCAGGTCTTGCCCGAATGCCTGGGGAGGAGGTAGAAGGTGCGTTCCCTCCTGAGTTGAGTAGAGGCCTGGCTCTGAGGAACAGTAAGGAAAAGATACAGAGATGTTGCCCCTTCAGGCCTGCCAGTGGAAACGTGTTCTTAACAGAGAGAAGTCTGCCTTCCCACAGGCTCAGGTGAGCCCCCTGTTTGGGAAAAAGTTCTTTCTTGACCCCTGATTCCTGCTTGATAGTGGCTGATTTTACTCCTTTTTCTTGTTATGCTTCGCTTTTACATCATTTTAAATTTGTTCGTTTTAGTTATACGGAGCCTGCTTACTCACAGTCGACATGCAAACAGAAATAGGATATACAGTGAAACCTAAAGGCTTTTCTTTGCCTCTCTCACTAATTCCCATGGGTCCTAGGTTACCCTTCCAGTATTTCTTATTCATGCATACACCCGCTAGTATATTTCCTTTGTAAAAACAAACAGAATCATACTATACAAACCATGCTGCCACTTACTCTTCTCTCTTACTTTATTGACAATGTTATCACATTTACTTATAATTCATTTCCGCTTTTTCATACATAGATCTCAGGCCTGTTTATTGTCTCGAGCATCAGCATTATTTGCTAAGAGAGGTTTTCTCTTCCATCTTGGGTTCTGTCCCTTCCTCCACTCAGCCTTCCACCTGACATAAACTAGAAGTTGAACTGGCTCATCCCAGAGGCCTTTCTGCAGGGAAGCTGGGGCCAAGGTCTGAAGCCAAGTCCCTGAGGACTTCCAGAGTAACCACGGGGCTAAGAAGGAGCGAGGCCTGGGGTCATCTTGCTTTTTGGAGGTGGGAGAACCTAGGGGAGGAATGGAAACGTGATCAAGAGTTGAAAGTTCCCTTGGGTTAATTCATGCCAGCAGCAGGAATTTTATAACATACTGGTAGCAAACTTAACCACAACTTCCAAAATTGCCCTGGGTAAAGTAGCAAGAAGCTGCTAAATGATTAAAATCTAATTTTGGCCGGTAATTTTTTCAACCTTTAGAGCAAGAATCTTACCAAGCCCTATCGACATTCATCACGAGTCTGCCCCCATTAGGGTACTGGGTGTGCGACTGTAGACTCTAGGTTTTACCCATCTTTACAAATGTGGATTATCAAAGTGTACAGATGTTACACTATTGAGCTGTCATGTAGTAAATCCCTGTCATTTTCCTGTGGCTGACCAGCAGGCAGAACCCTTTTCTATTTGGGGGATTCCCCCACTGTGTGGGTTAGGACCTTCCTTTCCGCTCTGGGAGCCCAGTGGGAGAAGATATGGCATACCTTGTTTTATTGTGCCTTGCTTTATCATGCATTGCAGATATGATGTTTCTTACAGATTGAAGTTTTGTGGGCACCCTGCATCGAGCAAGTCTACGGGTGCCTTTTTCCCGACAGCATTTGCTTATTTCATGCCTCTGTGTTGCAGTTTGGCAGTTCTTACGATATTCAAACTTCCCCATTATTCTATCTGTTACGGTTATCTGTGATCATTGTGTACAACTCACTGAAAGCTCACATTATGGTTAGCATTTGTTAGCAATAAAATATTTTTAAAGTAAGGTATGTACTTTTTTTTAATTTTATTTATTTATTTATTTTTTTAAAGATTTTATTTATTTATTTGACAGAGAGAGACACAGCGAGAGAGGGAACACAAGCAGGGGGAGTGGGAGAGGGAGAAGCAGACTCCCCGCAGAGCAGGGAGCCCGATGCGGGACTCGATCCAGGGACTCCAGGATCATGATCTGAGCTGAAGGCAGTCGCTTAACCAACTGAGCCGCCCAGGCGCCCATGTACTTTTTTTTTTAGATGTAATGCTGTGGCACACTTAATACACTGCAGTGTCGTGTAAACATGAATTTTATATGCACTGGGAAACAAAAAAAAAGGTCATTTGGCTCGCTTTATTGTGATATTCATTTTTGTAGGGATCCGGTCCGAACTCGGCTGGGCGTATGGCCCAGCTTGGCCAATCATCTGCTCCCTTTGGAACTTCGAATTTTGAACAAGTGGTACAAAAAGAAAGAGCAAGTTGATGTACCCGAGGCAAGCAGGATTCAGTGGTGGCGGGGGGAGGGTGTGTGTGGTAGAGCCCACTTGTTTTGTGGTACCTGAAATTCTTAAAGTCCTCTTCTGCTTCCGTTGGCCAGAGTTTATTTGTGGTGTTTACGCCCAAGAACCCTGACTCATGTACGTGAAAACGGACAAAAAACCCAGAAGGTCTTGCTTGGTCATTTCCCCTTCCAAATCTGGAATGATTGTCGTGTCACTCGAAGCCTTCAGACATTGTTAGCCAGTGGTCTTTTCTCACCAAGGGGAACTGAGTCTAGAGGCCTTGGTGACAAGTGTTGTGGGTGGCCGGTTCTCGAGTATGGATGGGAATGACTCGCAGACACACCTGCTTGAATAAAGCCAGCAAATCACCAACACTTCAATACTTTCAGTGTCTTCTTCATCCAAATCATTTCCGGCACTGCCAGAGAAGAGAAAAATTTGGCGGATCTCAACATCATCTCCTTTCGTACATGTTATATTCTGGTGCAAGTGTTCATGAAGGTGTCTCAACAGTAGGCAGAGAAAACTAAGAAGAGAGCTGACGGCCAACGTTATCTGCTGCATGTGTTGGAATCCACTCCAGGCACTAGATTCTGATTTCCTGGAATCATGCCACATCATCACTGGAAGGAAACGCAGAGAGTCATTTGCTCAGTGTTTACTGAGTGTCTACTGTACGCCAGGCACTATTTCCGACACTGAGAATTCAGTGATTGATACAAGAGCTTCTGCCTTTAGGGAGCTCACAGTTGTGTAGAGGAGACAAAGAAGTAAACATTGGGAGACTGCCCTAATTTCGCAAGTGAGCTAAAGCCTAGGAATTGCCAAGGAAATTGGAGCAGAACTGAAGGCAGAATCGAGGCCTCTTGGCTTCCCATTTTCTCAAGAGAAACATTTACCAGGTAAACTTGAGAGGAAGCCAGGGTGACAGGGCCGAGCTTTGGAGCAGCTTATACGTGCACACACACACACACGAATCACAAAGACACATAAGCATGCACACTAGTGCACGATAAACTCCATTTCGGACCTCCAAGGCTTGAACTTTGGTCCATAAGTGGTGGCACAAACAGACTTTAACCATTATGATAACTATGTAATTCCTTGACCCCAGAGGTGATCAGATTAAGCCTTAAAATGCAAGTTGTGATTACCCATCTCCA